CATTATGGAAACTCGGTTGGAATATGGAAGATAAAACAGAATGCCTTTTTTAAACCTACCATTTAATCAAAACATATGGAGCAATGGAAAATGTGGTGCTTAATAATAATTAAATGGAACTCTGCATAAAGTAGCTAATTAGTGCCAGGTGCAGGAAACATTAAGAGCTCACAGGAGGGAGATGATTACCTCAGGTCATGGGGCAACAGCTTGTCCAAAGAAAAAAAGGGATGCAAGAAATAAAATTCTAGGTCTCCTTCCAAGGTACACTTAGGATATCTTTTGCAAAAAGTGCATCCAAACATGAAAAAGTTAATACACAATACCTGTAAGTTTTCTGATTTTAAAAAACTGTGATATTTCCAATATTAAATTATATACTGTACATTGTATTTTCCAAATTTCAAGTTGGGGTAGAAGATGGGGGTATCAAAATATCTGTTCCATTATTCTTTAAGTAATGTCAGATTTATAAATCACCCTGAATGAATTTTTCAATTCCAAACTTTTTTTTTTTTGACTTCCTAGTGGCCTCAGAATAAAATGCTTTAGAGTAAGCTTTAACAAAACTTTGCTTCAACTCATAAAATAGAACTTTCTAAAATGGTATATTTAATTACTGTGGTTAAGCAGTTGAAACATTAAAAAATACGTCCCTATGGATTTCTGTTTAGAGTAGTCGCTGCTGTTTTTTTGTTTTTTTTTTTAAATAATTTTTAAGTGGCAAATTTTGCCAAAAAACTTATATACTTCTCAATACTTATAAATTCTTGTGTGGCCAATTATATTTTTCCATCAAAAGGAAACATATTTTTCAGTCACTAAGTTAGAAAATACTTAGAAGTTTCATCAAGTTGTGCATTGTCAGTTTGTTTTTGATATTTTAAACAAGTTTACTTGAAGTACTCAGCTTTCAGTTTTCTACTCCAGGCAATCAGCATCTAGCATATGGTATCCAAGTTACCAAACGGAGCAGGACAGCTTTATAAGCAAGGCAGCTGGTAGATTTGACAGATCCTTTCCAAATTACTCATCATGTTTTGAGTTGCTGCTAGGAAAAAAACATGTTGCCCATCTCCAAAATAGATGTTCTTTTTTATTTTTAAGCTCAGGAGAGGCTTCCAATAAAAAAAAACAAGACAGATGGGTATAGGAAGCAAGATATTTATCCCTATTTATACCATTTTCTTCTGTCAGTTTCCTCATCAGAAGAGTTTTCCAAATAAACAAATGAATATTTCAGCATTCATAGTTAACTATCCTACGATGTACTTTTGCTTTTCATATAAAGAACACCTTTGGAATAGTAAAATGTCAAAACTACAGGAAGGGTTTGCAGATTTTTAATTATCAAAGTGATTGCTGCCTAGATTTTGTGGCAACCAGCAAATCTGAACATTAGATTAAAGAGCTCTTTTTGACCCATTGGTGACATTGCAGATGAGCAAGTGAAATCTGTAAAACACTTTTCTCCATTGGCAAGTATATGAATGTCTGCTTTCAGTAATACCTGCCACACTAGAGCATCCTCTAACTTCGCCTAGAGGAAAACTAAATACAGGCCAGAGGTGTTTATTCCAACTGTGATTGCACAGAGTTGCGAATTCTTTACCACAAACGCGTCTCATAAGAGTCATCCATTTGGGCCAGGCGCGGTGGCTCAAGCCTGTAATCCCAGCACTTTGGGAGGCCGAGGCGGGTGGATCACGAGGTCGAGAGATCGAGACCATCCTGGTCAACATGGTGAAACCCCATCTCTACTAAAAATACAAAAAATTAGCTGGGCATGGTGGCACGTGCCTGTAATCCCAGCTACTCAGGAGGCTGAGGCAGGAGAATTGCCTGAACCCGGGAGGCGGAGGTTGCGGTGAGCCGAGATCGCGCCATTGCACTCCAGCCTGGGTAACAAGAGCAAAACTCTGTCTCAAAAAAAAAAAAAAAAAAAAAAAAAAGGAGTCATCCATTTGGACACAATTCTGTTGGGGTGTTTGTAATGATTTCTAAATGGGGCTTTCTACACAGACCATCAAGAAGTTTCACCCAGTAGGTAGTGTCGCAATTGGCTTTGGAATCTCAAAGTATTCCAGAATCTGCAATGATTTCTAATTTTCCTTCAAAAGCTTTAGACAGAAACTATGCTCTGAATTTTCTCTAAATGTTATATATTTGGTACACATTTTTTCACCTAATTTATGTTGGAACTAAAAGCTGGTTTTTCTCCCCTTTCTGTGGTCTTTGCTTTGCAGAACACCATTTATGCTATTGGTAAGAGCTTCAAAGTTGAAAAATATGCTTTTAGGTGCATTAACAAATATAAATAATAATAATGTAGTTTTTCTATCATTTTAACATTTAATCATTACTTTACTTGACATATACTTTCTGACTGTACAATACATGTTCAGATATCTATGTTCTTGAACTAAAATTAATGTAAGAAATACATTCAAAAAAATGAGGCTAATTGCCTTATTATGTCTCTTCTTTGGCAATCCAATTAAAACATAACCAACACTCAGTTTTTTAAAATTAATAGTAGTTGTCAAGTTTAAAGTATAGTTCTTTATATTTCTGAACATTGTCATAAGTCATTTGAGATAGATTTATGAAATGACAGACTTCCCCAGAATAAAGTACAATGTGTCAAGAAGCTATTCTTTAGTTCCAGTCCAATGGGAATTTAAGAAATCATTTCAAACAGGAATAAAAAATGGAAATAACTTTTGAAACATCTTGCAAATGACAGATACATCTCAATACTCTGTGTATATCACATTTTGAAATCAGTGTACTTTTTTCTGTATTTAAAGGTTTTAAATATATTAGAAATTATTAACATACTGTTCTATGTTCTGAAAATTTGTGAGATAATTTAAATCAAGTGGTCATAGTATATTGGCATGAGGTTTCTGTATATAAAGATCTATAATTTAAATGTGACTTTTTCTTTTCATTTGAAAAGTCATTAGCTTCCAAGGACAACCACTGCCAATGCAAAACCAACTTGTATTTTTTAATACCTAATATCACCCTTTCTTTGAGAAATGTTTTCAATCATTCATCTCTTCTCATATCTCCTATAAATACTATGATGCTTAATATCTTTGCAAAGATTTTGTATTGCATAGTCTCAAGAATTCTGAAAGTGTCAGATTGTTTTAAATCTTTCCACTTAATATACTTTATTATATATATAATTTATAACATTGTTATATATAATTTATATATAAATATTTTCACTTATTTTATTTTATTATATGTAATAACATGCTTTCTCATTTGACATATAAATGAGTGAATTTCTGAACCTGAAAACTAGCTCACAGAGGTTGAGGAAAAGAAATCTAACAGAGTGGTCATGTATTTTACCATCAGCTCTTTCTTTGTCTATTGCTGCTGCATCTTATTCTTTCTCATTCTTTTCTTAATTTTGTATGTCATTCAAAAGACACATAAAATTATCATTAATAGGAGTCCTTACAAATACAAGGAAATAAGACTTAAAAATTATTACAATATATTCTTGAATTTTCAAACATCAATTGTACAAAGCACAATTGATTTCATCATTATTAAAAAAAAAAAAAAAAAAAAAAAAAAAAAAAAAAAGCCCTGCAGTCTGTGTTTCAATTAATTGTAAGCCATGGCTTTATTTCCAAAATATTAAAATGTGAAATAATGCCTCAGAAACTAGGCATATTGGCATACAAAATGCCTTTTACAGATAAAATCAATCTTAAACTCAATCCACTCTGCAACAGCTTTGATAAGTCAGTATAATTATCTCCATTTTATAGAGGAGGTCACTGAGCATAAGGGATATTAAATTACTAATCAAAAGGAAGTATTGCTCAGAAACACCAGATCAGAAAGTCAGATTGGGAAACCAAAGTATGTTTACTGTATTTGCTGACAATGTAAAAACATACTGTTTAACAACAAAATCCGTGATTGTTTCAACCAAAGGGGGAAAAAATGTGTGAGTCTGAACCAACATATATTATCAAGTGTCAACAACGTCAAGCCAGTATATTAAGAAAGCTTTTGAAACTAGATGGACAATTTATAAAGCCCTCAAAATTTAATAAATTGTTAGTAAAGTATCTTTTAGTATATTAAAGAAGCAGTGTACTAAATTCCTTCACTCTTTCAACCATCCATTTGTGCATTCATCTGTTCATTTACATGTGACACAATTACCAAGATTTATTTAAACATAGTTATTGGTGGATTAAACTGAGGCTTAAAAGAGATGCAGAAAGCTTACTAAATCAATGAATCAAAAAATGTTATCTTCCAAATGTTTACAAATAATTACCACTTAAATATCGGCAAAAGCAAGCTGTTAACGTTCTTTGATTTCACAAAGCCAAATGCAAAATAAGATATATTAAAACCACAAGCACTAACTTTTCATGCCAAAGAACACAGCTCCACTCTCCCTCCCCCACTTAGGGTAAGCAGCTACTTGAAGCATTTTACTCAATTTTGTTTAAATAGGCATGCAGGCAATAAATATGCAGCAGCTAAAAATATCCCTAAAATACAGGGACTCTGAGTAACTTAAAAGAAGTGCATAAAATTGTTGTACTTTTTAATTTATTTCATAACTTTTTATCTTAACATCAAACATTACTAATAATTGATTATTTTATACATACAAAAAAGGACAGCAATGCTTTCTTATTGTATTCTAATGCAGTATATTTTTCTCCTGTAAGAAAAGCCAGCAGTTCACAAACATTAATCATTCATTTATTCTCTTACATAAAACTTGTTACCTACTTACTGCTATGTAGCCAAAATCACTACAAAAGCGTTTATCAAAGTGATAAAAAAAAAAAAAAAAAAAACAGGAGCAACTTTTTACAGCAGACAGTCTCAAGTACTATTTTAACATGGGTAAAATAAATACATTTCATTCTGTCAAATCTTACTATGTATGAGTTATGAAGCACTGTGCAAAGCCATGCTTAGTGGATAGAAGGATGGCTACTTACCAACAGGGCGAGCTGTAGACATTACAATGGTGTGGTGAGAACATAAAAAAGAAATTAAAAAAAAGAAAGAAAAATTATCAGAATGCATGATGTGTAATGTTACATTTAAGTATGGACAATAGAGTGATTTCTAGTCTCATAATTCAAGTATGACCAAGATGCCTGAGTCTGATAAAATTGAGAGCTACAAATTTAATTCTAGGAAAATAATTACTTTGACTCTGAGGACTGACTGTAAGCAATTTGAGAGATATTTTAGGTAAAGTCTTATCATCATCACTTACTATAGTTATTATTTCAAAGATCTTGAGTTAAACAGCGTTGTGTTACTCCAAAGTTAAAAACCTGATGAATATAACTATTCAAGTCACAGACTAGCAAATGTCATGTCAATAAAAGAAGGCCTCGAAGTCTGATTTAAATAGCAATTGGATTTTAAGCATGGTTAGTCAGAACCATTACAAGGACTACAGAAAAGCCCCTGACGCTGCTTTTCAGTCAGTAATAAGTTAAGATCACATCACTTTTCATCCGTGGACAGGGTGGATGAAAATATAACAAATAGGTTGGAACATCCTTAGAGATTTCAACTCAGTAGCTCCCTAACTACTGTTAAGCTTTTTTCTTCTTTTGGCAGAGGGCAGGAAACAATGACTGACAAGTTGATTCTTGTTCACACTGAGAACGGCTTTCAAACTGCTGCTTCAACAAATTATCATTTTTTTATTATACTATAACTTTCAATCACTAAAATCAGTGGTAATAGGCTGCCCCAGTCATTAATGCAAAGAAATTGTAAGAGACACACATGGGCTTCATAATATTTCTTTAAAAGGAATAACACCCTATCAGTTTAGATGGCAAACCATTTTATGCAAAAGCAATAGACAAATATTATAAAACATGTGATCCCATTATCCAAATGAAGAAGAAATGTACTTAGTAGTACATGAAATTTCATGAACTCTAACATTAAAAATACAACTTTTTCAACAGTGTTTCACCCATATCCCAGTGTATACAGCTCCAGTGCATATGTAATGTGACTCTGGAACGTATCAATAGTTTTGTGTTGATGATGGCTCTTTGGGCGTGGCAAGATAGGAACAGCCATTGAAAACATATTTACACATATTCGCTTAACAGATACATCATAATACTAGCTTTGTGAAATCCCTAAAAATAAAAACTTATTTGTCTCTATATGAGAGCCATGGTCTATGATATTGACAATTGTTACAGAAAAGATTCTGACAACAGGCAATAAGGCAATTGTAGCAGTGCTGTGAAAAGTCCAGTTTAGTGGAATCCTAACATGCGATGCATTCTCTATAGCAAAAGGAAAAGAGGAGTAAGTTACCTAACGTACCATAATTTCTTTCATTTTGCAGGGGAGTGTGGAGCAGAATGTAAGATGAACTATCAAAAAGAGATAACAGACTAACAATGTGAACTTGTGGCTTATTCTAACAGAGGAAGTTTCTCTTAATTTTGCCAACGTCCACTAGAAAAAGAACTTTGTCCTTTGTCTTTGAATTTGTGCTTTTCAGCTTACCACCTCAAGCTGAATTTCAAACGTGTTTCCTTTAGAAACAGAAAGGTGTTTTGAGTCTAGGATATTAACAAAAGAAAAAAAAAAAAAGAAAAGAAACTGTCGTGAGAAATCCTGTTTTAAATAAATAAAATATATTTCTATTTTATTTTAGTATAGAATAATTCCAAAATTGTTAAGGCTTTATTGCTCAAGAAGCAAGATTATTTGTTCAATCAGATCTTTATGCAAAGCAAATTTTAAAAATTTTAAAATGGGAAAAAATGTGCTTATAAATATGCAGCTTGGGTTGTCACTTTTTATCCACTTTAAAAGTTTTATTAATAATAAATTATTTGATTAGAATAAAGATGGTAGGAGGTTTGTTGTTGACTGGGTTTATTTCTTCCTACTTTTACATTTGCAAAATCAGCAGAGGGAGCTTCTTGATCTTTGGCTTCACTTTATGGGTTTTTTTTTGTTTTGTTTTGTTTTGTTTTGATTTGTTTTGTTTTTTAGAAAAACATATTTCTGAAATGGGAAACAACAAAGTGGATCTGTTTCAGATTTTAAGAATAAACTCCCTTACCTTTTTTCCAATTGACTAATGTGAATGTTATGATAAATTTTAGCAGAAACATCACAATAAATTTTTTTTTGTCCTTGTTACATTAGCAACATTTCATCCTGAAGAAAACCAGCAGGTGGATGTTTTCAAAATCAGCAAATTAAACTAAACTGTGTCTCTGCATTAAATGGATGAAAATGAACATGGCCTCTTGGGTCAGTTGACCCTGCTCTAATAAAACAATCCCAGGAAAGGCTGCACATTTCATTTATGTGCATCAAAAAATGAGCACAGAAAAAAAATAAGTCGTAGATAACAGTATTGTCTTTTTTTTTCCCTGTAATCTCTTAGCATGAGAAAACCCAAATGCTTTTCCTAATGGTACAAAAACATTTTTAAACAGTATTTTACTCTACATTATCTTGTATTAAGGAGATTTTTTTTTAAACCCAGTTTTTTAGGTTCCAGTCTTAGAGAGGTGATAAATACATGCCACAAAGAATAAACACTCTAATCCATCTACAGGATACAGATCAGGGGAGAGGCCATTTAAGATTTGCTGATTTAAAAAGCAAAACAAAACAAAAAAACCCTATTAAAAACAAACAATTTTTTCTATTAGTTTTGTAAGTTAGCTTCAAACACCCCCGCCTGAGGAGCATGCTTTGTTAAATGAAATGTTAAGGCTGAAACTTTCGACAAATTATGAAAACAATTAGCTGGGAAAGGTCTTAAAGCAAACAGACCACTTCAAGTCTCACTCATCCAAGCATTCAAGTATAAAAGAAACCCTGCTGCTTCTGCAAACAAACAGCTCCTCATATTCTCTCACTATTTGTTTAGTCAGCAAATATTTCTCGAATGGAAAATTTATTGGCTGGTTGTTTATTATTTTTTTCCATTTACTTTAAAAAAAAAGAAAAATAAAACTTTGGGGATAATTGGGTCGAGTAAATTGTTTTTGCAGTAAGCTGCCTAGCAAACATGACAAACATATGAAGTCATCCATGGAGACTGTGAGTTACATAAAGTGTGTTCATTGGCTTATAAAGGTTATCAGATTTCTATCTTACATAATCCATATATATATATGTGATTCATATATGATCATAGTTCTTTATGACTTGTTAACTAATGAAGAGTGAAAATGTTTTTATGCAACTAGCTGTTAGTTTTGTCTAAATACAGTTTTGTATCTAAGTTCACACTAGAATGTCTCGAGAAGAAAAAAATGAATTAAGTGAAATAAGAATAGAGCAGTTGAGTAGTATGAAAAGCAACAATATTTTTCCAGGTATCCAAAGTGCCTGTCTCCTCATAATTACCTGGAGGTCACTGAGTTTTGTAAGATTTGAAGCACAAATCATAAATCTGGCAAAAATTCTTTTTCTTACCACAAAAAGGACTAACCTGAGAATCCCTGACACCTTTCTTGTAGCTTCGAACTTCTCCAAATCTTTCTCCTAACATGCTGAAACCTTCTGGGAGCAAAGCTGCACAAGGGTCAGAGGTTTGACTAAGCAGGGTAGATGTAACTGAGACTTGAATGAAAACATGCAGCCAGTCTCTTTATTGCCAAGGATGAGAGAAGGAGGCAGTTAGTAGTGGGAGAAGGATGTGCTTGCCTATCTTTGTTTGATGTTCTGTGAGTGTAAATGATGCCATGGGTAATGTCTATTTCTAGAATAAGTGTAACTGTCTATATGGTACTTCTTGGTACCTTGGACTATATAATTTACCTCATGTGATCAAAAAGTTCCACTGAAAAGACAGTTAATCTATTCTAGTGCACTGTAAAGTTAAGTAATGCTTTCTTTCCTTTATAAGAAATTCCAGTGAGTCTATAAATGAACATTATTCCACGACTGAGGAAGTGCATGACACCCAGAAAGTGAAAGTTATTACAAGAGCAGCACCGACTATTTCAATTATTTAAGGCCAATGAACTTCACGAATCAGTCTCTAAACCAGATTATCTCAAGGCTGGAGAGCTCCTCTGTATTCAGTTTGCACCTTTGGAAGTATTGCTAGTGTTTCTCAGATTGCTGTTTTGAATGCTGACATTAAAAAGAACCAAAACAGTATGCTACTAGTATAAAGTGACAAACCAGTAAACAGAAAATATGGGAGTACCTTTGAAACTGATGGCATTTAAAAGCAGTAAGTAGTTGAAAGCAATGGAAATGAAAAGAGTAGTACACATCTTTTGTAATTTTAAGACTTAATTTTAAGCCATATAAACTATTAACTTTAAACCATATAAGCAATTTACTAAGTAAGAATTAATCCCTTTAAGTTATTATCATTTGGAATCAAATATTGAAACTAATTTTATTGCAATTAATGATAGAGAGGACACAAAATGTAGGCATTTTAGTACAACAAAACAGCATAATCCACTAATCTGATTGTAAATTCACTTACCAATTTAACCAAATATTAGTCTCCTGGTTCAATTATGTTTGACATCTTAAATCTCTTACCTCGGACTGTGAGTGTAGCAGAGGCTTCCATTTTTCCCACACGATTCTCAGCAATACACATATAGGTGCCTTCATCTGTACTCATGGTCTTTTTAATTCTTAGTGTGTAATCATCTTTTATGTCATACCTGTGTAGAATATGAGCTGGTTTTATTAAACAGTATTATCTATATAGATAATAGCACAAAGTATTCATCTTCATTTTTCTTTTTATATTGTATTTTACCTAAACACACACACACACACAAATCTGCCATAAAGTACAATTGCTTAGATTGAAAGTATTGCTAATAAAATCAATTTCATATCTGATCTTTAGCTACTTGTCAGTTATCTATCCTTTACATATGTATGCAATTCTTTCCACTCCACAACTATCAAAGGCATAATCAGCACTTTGACCTTTCTTTGGTAACTCTTAACTACTAAAGAAAATAGCATACACCTCAGTTTCTTGTTGAGTCATATCTCATTAGTCACATTGTTCAATAACACAATTTATTTTTAGGCACCTTGGAAATAAGATAGCTTAAATACATTAAAGAACAAAATTTTTCTCTTGTTTGTTGGCAAATTGACAAAATGGGCATTAATTAAAAGAATTAAGGGTGCATAGTCATTTTTTTAATAAGAACTATTAACTCCTGAAACATCAACATGCCTCGGAGTGATTTTTGGAAATGCACATCCTCAGCTCTTTAACGTGCATTTATTGTTTCACCGCCATTTCATTAATGAAGCGGACAAGCAGAGTGGGTCAGAAAACATTATAACATGAAATATTTGGGGGTATTTACATGAGAATATATTCTTATTTGATTCTAAGAAATTATAATTATACCAACTAAATAATCAAGCTATCTTATTTTTTTTTTTCATTCTTTTCACATCTGATCTTTCCTCCTGATATGGTTCTAATTTCAAACACACATCTTGCAATACTTTCTGATTGGCCACCTTGCTTCTCTTCCTCATATATACCACAGTTTGATCCACATTTCCAAAATTTTATTTTAATTGGTTCTGTCTGCTCAAAACTAGCTGTGACTTCCTGTTGCTTTCAGGACAAACACAAACATTTTAGGCTTGCATTTAAAACTACCATAATCAGATATTTTCTACTTCCAGCCTTAGCTAGAAGAATAACCCAGCTTAACTTTATTAGAGGCTAAGATATGAACTAAGAGAGTCCTATTTTTGACAAAAAGAAATATCTGTGTACCAATCATGCCAGCTAAACTATCCTAACTCTTTCATCCTTTAATTATCATGGTTACTTTTCTGTCTGTATGTTTTGCCTTAAAATTCTGCTTATTAAGTATGCCATATGTGGTTAGGGAAAACTCATCCACTACTTCCTTATCCATGACTTTCATTGTGAAGCTATCCATTACCATACTATAAAAACCGAATTACTCCCTTTTTGAAAACTTATTGCTACAGCAGTAATTCTGCACTTAGTTACATTTTGGATTGTTACCTATTTTGATGAAGGCACAGATTTTGTCTGCTTCACTCACTGCAATATCCACACAGAGAGTTTTAAACATCCAGTAGCATGATCAAGTAGTTAAAAGCACAGACTCAGGAGCAAAATGGCCAGAGTTGTATTCATGGACTTGGCCCCTTAATATGCTTCTAAGGGTGGGCAATATATTTAAATTTTCTGGATCTCTGTTTCCTCATTAGCAAAATAAGTGCTAAGGATAACATTTATTTCATGGCGTTTGTGTGAGCTTTAAATGACGTATGAAGTACTTAAAACAGTCACAGAAAAAGCACAGTACATGTTAGCTATTATTATTCCACCTACTAGGAGCTCAAGAAACATTAGTGGTGAATACATATCTTGTTTCCTGTTGCTATAAAGGCCAACTGTGAATGGCTTCAAGGCTGCAAACTACTTTACCCGTATCTTTATAGTTTAGTGCAAATACTAAGCTAAAATGCATGCAAGAGCAAAATACAGATAAACACTTTCTGCTTAACTTTGCCAGTAAAAATGTAAAAAAAATTAAAAAAAAATAAAAACAAAACAAAACAAAACAAAACAAAAAAACTATTTTGATAACGGCTTCAGAAAAGTTACTGGTGATGCATTTAAGGTATAATAAAAATAATATTTTCTACAGTTAGCCTATGTACTACATGAGATGCTTAGCTATAAGATAGAAACATTTAAGCACCGTATTTTTCAGACATTTCCAAATCATCTAAAAAAATTGAATTATTGGCTACTGTTTAGCCATTTATTCTTGTTTGACTTTCAGAAGTCTCTACATTGTCCTATATCTGAGTTTTTTCAAGAGTAAAAGAGGGGAAATAAACGTAATGACCTAAAAAGTCTTTTCTGGATAAATACATATGTGAAGCCATGATTCCAAGTTAATAAAAGATATATACATACACACACACACACACACACACACACACACACGTATATCTATATACATATAGTATATTATTTCTGATTTGCCATTGAGAAAAAATTGTATGTTACCTCAGTTAGAAAAAATGGTTTCACGCATCATTCATAGTATCCTCAAAATCTTATTCTGAATCAGAAATTGTCATTTTATAGATGAGAAAACGGATACATAGTCAAGTAAAATGACCTGCTCAAAGTCATGTTATTGCTAAAGAAAAACATTAGAATTAACATCTTGACTGAATTTGTCACTTTTCCCATTCTATCTGTATTACTTCTCTGCAAGAAAAGTTTAATTTTTAAATGCTAACTTAAAACACTAAGACACATAACTACATATTTTGGACAGATAAATAATTTTACATTCAGCAAATATTTAGCTATAGCTTATGACAAAATTTTCCTTCACATTAGAGACATTAATTACACAGGAGACAACATGGAAGCTAAACAAAATGTAAAGGTTATCTCCCGCTTTAGTGTAAAAAAAAAGTATATATTCTAATCATCAGAGAACTGCAATCAAAACCACAATGAGATACTGTCTCACTGCAGTCAGAATGGTTACTATTAAAAAGGAAAAAAATAACACTTGCTAATGACTCTGTGGAAAAAAGAGAATGCTTACACATTGCTGGTGGGAATATAAATTAGTTCAGACATTGTGGAAAGCAATTTGGAGATTTCTCAAAGAACTTAAAACAGAACTACCATTTGACTCAGCAATCCAATTACCGTGTAAATATCCAAAAGAAAATAAATTGTTTTACCAAAAAACCTACAGGCACTTGTGTATTTATTGTCACACTATTCATAATAGCAAAGACATGGAATCAAACTAAGTGTCCATCAACTGTGAACTGAATAAAGAAAATGTGGTCCATATATGCCACGGAATAGTACATGGCCATAAAAAGAAGGAAATCATGTTCTCACTTAGAAGTGGAAGCTGATAATTGGGTACACATGGATATAAAGATTGAAACAATACACACTGGAGACTACTACAGGAAAGAGAGAAGGAGGGGGTCAAAGGGCTGAAAAACTATCTATTGGATAGTATGCTTACTTCCATTTGTAGCCCGAATTTCACTGTCACACAATATGGCCATGTAACAAACTGTACATGTACCCTCAAATCCAAAATAAAAGTTAAAATTAAAAAAAAATTTTGAAAGTGTTTCTTTAAACATGACAAAATGCATAATATTTGAACCCAAACTCAGTCTGAAATCTGACTTTCTGAGATTTTTCATTATTTTAAAGAAAGGTGGAAATAAGAATAGGAATGAGTTTTTTGTTTGTTTGTTTTGAATTAATGGTACCTTGATCAGGGATACAAGTAATTGTGTGGTCTATAATTGCAAATTACCTTCCTTGTGAAAAGTTAAAATCAAATATTACTTGGGAAGAATAAAAGGAATTAATCTTAACAACTGATAAAAAAAAAGACTACCTTTCAAAGAGACTGTGCCATTAAAAGCAAAGCAAACAGCAAATCTAATTTTTTTTTTCTACCTATAGAACAGGTTTTCAGATACAGATTGTAAAACAATGGCCAAGGCCAATGGTCTGGTGACATGGGCCAGATTTGTTAGAAAACATAAAAGTACAGAAAGTAACTAAATCCATTCCCAGTGAGACAGGTATGCATTGGAGTAAAAATACATTTTTGGTGATAATTTTTAATGATCTTTCATATAACAGTGCCCAGCATAGTTCCTAGGAATTAGCTGCCCGGTAGCATTGCCATCTTTTAATTTCTCCTTAATGACCATTGAAAGTTGAAAAGATTATAATGAACATTTCATTATTTTATTCAAGAAATGCTGATGACATATCTCACGCATTGCACCAAAATTTGGGGATACGTTACTTAATAGGAGGTAGAGGCTACTGAAATGATGTCTGCCTCCCCATTAGGGTGATCAGAACTACCTCCGATGCTCTCTCCAGCTAACACACATTTCCCAGGGCCATCCCTTGTCTTTCTCCAATTGGAAATATATGCTACAATACATGTCTTATGTCCCATCACATTGGGATGTTGTAATTTAAAAAAAAAAAAAAAAAAAAAAATTCCAGTGCTTAGTTACTGAAATGCTCACAGTCTTTTAAATTCTCATTTTTCTTGCTGCCTCTTCACCTGAGGAAAGACTGTAAATATGATTAGTAGTTTATGTGATGTATTTATAATCAAAATACTTTGAATATATATAAAGTGATTGACTCATTAGGCTAAAAAAAACCTTAAAACTTCACCTTCTGCAACAATCCATGGACACTTGAATCCTACCTGCAACATGCAACCAATCAGTCTTCCGGCTTGTTCCTAGGACAAGTGGCCTATTCTATCTTTGAACATCTCTGACTATTAGAAGATCTTCTATACATGATGATATAAAACATTTCTTCCCAAAGTTACTATTAATAGTATTTACTCCTTGTGCCAAACAGAAGAGTGTACTCTCTCTCCCATAAGAGAGCTTTTTCAATTTTGGGTTTCTTATGAATAATTTCACATTCAGGTCAACTATTCCTAATAACAGCAAACATATACTATATAGTAATCCCCATGATTCAGAGGGACTGTGTTCCAAGACTCCTAATGGATGCCTGAAACCACAGATGACACTGAACTACAAATACTCTACACGAGACAGTCAATCATAACTGAGAAGGCTATTAAGTGACTAACTG